GAAATAAAATGAACTTTTTTGATTTTAGCAAATGGCTGCAATGAAACGGAGTGAAAAATTTAAAGGGGTCTGAATACTTTCCGTACCTACTGTAGATGCAGTATATACATTTGTTTAAGATCGCTAAAGATGAAGCGGATTCTCTTGTGTTGTATTCTTAAAACAGGTGGTGGTGAAGCTCCTTGATTATACTTTCAGTTATATATGGAGTCAAATATCTGGTCAATTAGATTATGGTACAGTGAAAACTGTAAAAGAAATGCGCGGTGAATCAAATCAACGTTTACACCCAGTGTCAACATCAATGTCACAATATACTAAAGTAGTTTTGATGCTGCCTCTTAAAAATGGAAATAGCTGCATATTCATACTTAACTTAAACTTTTCTGTGACACAGGTTTTGTTCCACTCTTGAATATCTCCTGATAGATCTGTTCTGTGTCTCCTTGTGTTCTTTTTATAAGTCCAGTCTAGTCAAATACTCATTTGAGCTCTATATTTATCCGTTCTTTTTAAGCAACTGCTTCTTCATGTTTTGAACAGGTTGAAGGGAATCGTATTTCAAAAGTATGCAGAGTAAAAATCCACATTTGATTCCTTCAATACACAGTCCTGCTATTCAAGAAATGCAGTTATTACGTTTCTCTGTACAGCACTGTGAGGTTTTTAAAGAAAAATCGAAGAAATAATAAAATAAGTAAAACCTCTTCCATCCAATTTTTAGATAACCACCCACATTAATCCTTTAATCTGCGAATATTTCTCCTGGGAAGTCTTTCTGTTGGCCGACTGACCTTTCCCATTCTGAAATATCAACGGTCATTGCTGAATCATGCTCTTTTATCCCAGGTTTTTAGGACACTTCATGTCAAGTGCTGTTGAGTTATATAAGCTACTTTGCCTTCATTTGTCATCATTTTCTTCATCAGATGAAGTATTGCTGTTTCCTAAATCTGTGACGAATTTGATATTTCAGTCATTTTCCGGTGAAAACGACCCATATTTGATGTTTTGCAAGATAATTGTTTGCAGATAAATACATTTTTTTTATGAAAAAGGATGTGAAATCACTAGAAAGCATTGTGACTAAGTGGATAGCAGGGCTGTCTTTCAATAAGAGGGTCGGTGGTTCGAGCTCCGGCTCCGCTAGTCGCATGTCGATGTGTCCTTGAGCAAGACAGTTAAGCCCAAAATTGCTCCCGTAGCTGTGCCTACGGTGTAGAAATGTGATAGACTCTGAATTGTAAGTCGCTTTGGATAAAAGCGTCTGCTAAATGACTGTAATGTAATAAAGCACAAGTGTCATTCAGTCTTTATTCATGTGACCCCAGTGTTATTCATGCCAGCTTGGTTTGGAAGCTTTCTGCTTCAAAGTGAGACACACAAACAAACAGACTAACCTTCTAATTTGACTTTCTCAACTGTAGTTTCTTTTCTTCTCCATATTCTCTTGATACTGTATGAACTACTTATTGTTCTAATATGAGACATGGGGGGGCGGGGGGTCATAGCGGGAGATGGATGCTATTATGAATAAAGATGCAGAATACTTTGTTTTCAAGCCAGACAAAAGGTATCCTCTTGCACAGTACTGATTGAAACCAGTAGGGTTGATTCTATCAACTTGATCACATTACTGAAGTCTGCAACCAGCAGAGACTCCAGACTCTGCCCAGCCAAGATCATCTGTAAAACTACACTGTGTTGTACGGATTAAACAAACAAGATATAATATGTTAA